ATCCTAAAGGAAGTTCTATGGACAGAGAACCAACAAGAACAGACAATACCCAGAGAATGACTAAGTGTCAGCATCACCCTGAACTCAGTCGACAAATGGAAGAGTCAAGAACAGAATAAAACTCTAAGAACAGAGGATCTGGGAGGTCAGTCTATGATCAAAACAATTATAATGTGAAAAAAAGGTAAACACAGAGGAACAGAGATCCAGGTGATGGGAAGGTCAGGTAGATTACTAGATATAATAGACTGTGTTAAATGGAGGGTAGAACTAATGGAATATAAGGTAACCACAATGGGGTTGGGGTGGGGGATTTAGTTTGGGTGTTGGGGAAGGCAATACAAGAAGGGGGGAGGAGGTAGAAGAACAAGAAAGATAGGGGAACACTGAGACAGGTTTGCATGGCCTAGTGGGACAGAGGTAAATAGTGATGCATACTCAACCTTGGAACAATAGGGCTCTGGGATACAGGGATCTATGTATAGCTTGAAGAGGGTAAATAATACTAAAATCCTTGACTGCCTTATGAATATTAGTTTCCTTTGCCTACTATTGTAAAATAAGACACGAGTGGGATAGAAAGGAATGTTGGGAAACATGATTAGAGAAAACTTGTAAGCCCGCCTTCAGCCTATTGGAATACCTAAAAAGGGGTTCTACAACTTGCCCAGTGAAATAGGCCTCATGCAAAGCCTTCACAGAGTATAGGACCTTAGGTGGAATCCTGAGTCCTATCCACAAGGAAGTTCTGTGGACTGAGAACCAACAAGAACACACAACAACTATAGAATCACATATGTGGCAGCATCTCCCTGAACTCAATCAATAAATGGAAGAGTCAAGAACAGAATAAAACTGTAAGAACAGAGGATCTGGGAGGTCAGTCTATGATCAAAACAATTACAATGTGAAAGAAGGTAAACACAGAGGAACAGAGATCCAGGTGGTGAGAAGGTCAGGTAGATTACTGGATAATATAGACTGTCTTAAATGGAGGGAAGAGTTAATGAAATACAAGGTAACCACAACAGTGGGGTTAGGGTGGGGCGTTTACTTTGGGTGTTGGGGAGGGCAATACAAGAAGGGGGAGGAGGTGGAAGAACAAGATAGACAGGGGAACACTGAGACAGGTTTGCATGGCCTAAGTGGGACAGAGGTAAATAGTGATGCATGCTCAACCTTGGATCAACAGGGCTCTGTGATACAGGGATCTAGGCGTAGTTTGAAGAGGGGAAATAATACTAAGATGTTTGACTGTCTTATAAACATTGGTTTCCCTTGCCTACTATTGTAAAATAGACACCTGAGTGGGATAGAAATGAATGTTGGGAAACACGATTACAGGAAACTTGTAAGCCCATCTTCAATCTATAACTGATTAGAATACCTAAAAGGGGTTCTAGAACCTGCCCAGTGAAATAGGCCTCTTGCAAAGCCTTTGCAGAGTATAGGACCTTAGGTGGAATTCTGAGACCCATCCAGAAATTTATGAAGTGGGGCATTCCCACTAGCAAGGACAAGCAGACCAGCCTGGAACAGCTAGAACAACAGAAGATACATCTTCAAAGACAAATCATCAGGAAAACCCAAAATATAAATGTCAGCATAACTGGCTACTACAAGAATAAGCAAGCTGTTCACAAGGAAGACATCAAGGCAAACTCCCCTCTAAGACTGAAACTCAAAGGGAACACACAAACATGCATATAAGCTTGCTGGTGACCACATTGGTCTACTGGTGAGTGGAAGAGGAGGAAAGGCAGCAATGAAGAAATGGGCTGAGTTCAACCACAGTCCATTGACTCCTGTTGACCTGGAGATTAGAGAAGAGGAAGGGCTGGTTGCTCCAAAGTGTGGTGAGACCTGGGGACACTTGAGCCCATGGACAAGGACATAGCCATGGAGGGCTAGAGTTGAGAGTGAAGCATCCAGCTGATACAAAGTGAGGGGAGATGCACAAGAACACCCTATCTTGCAGATAGTACCCATTGACCTAGCCTCGATGGCTTGATCATCAGAACTTGACTAGAGGCAGATTACACACACAAAAAAAATAAATGAAAGAAAGAAATAGAATTAAAATCTTTTTAGGGTGGATGAATCTTGCATTAAAAAAAAATAATTTATACTAAGAAGCCTAACACTTGTAAAAATACTAGGCCTCTAAGAATGAAAAATGTAAGATTCTTTTTTTGTTGGTAAGTGCCATCAAATCGGTTCTGACTCATGGTGACCCTGTGTAAGATTTCCAAGGAGCAGCTGGTGAGTTTGAACCACCGACCTTGTGGTTAAATCGACCTTGCAGTCCAGTGCTTTATCCTACGTCTATGTGTATGTAAAAAAAAAAAAAAAAAAAAAACACAACAGTTGCTGTTGGGTTGACTCTGGCTCATGGTGACCTCGTGTGTGTCAACTTGGCACTGTGCTTGCTCTAGTGGCTTTTTCAGTGGCTGATTTTTCTGAGGTGATTCTAGGTGAACACAACCTTTGGGTTGATAGCACAACACGTTGACCATTTGCACACCTCTCAGGGTGGATGGACTTAAGCATGGCAACAGTGGTGAGGTTGGCCCAGGATTGGGCAGTGTTTCATTCTGCTGTGCATAAGGTCGCTATGGGTTGGTACTGACTCGATGGCACCTAACAACAACAACAGGAGGACTTTTTAAGAATGTATGCATGGATCTGTGTACATATATGTGCACACACGCACACATACAAGGGGGCTTTGAAAAGTTTGTGGAAAATGGAATTAGCAGATAATGAAAAATTTCCACAAACTTGCTAAAGCCCCCTCTCATAAGGTGCTGTTGGTTGGGCATTGGGCTTGAACTACCCTACATAAATAGTTCAAACCCACTAGCTGAGATGAGACTGTCCTGTAAAATATGTAGTCTCGGATACCCTAAATAAGATTCTCTTGAGTTGGAATTGACTTGATGACAGTGGGTTGGTTTAAAAAAAAAAAAAAAGGGAGCATGGTGACTCTGTAGGTTAAGCACTGTACTGTGAACCACAAGGTCAGCAGTTCGAGCCCACTAGCTGCTCTGCAGGAGAAAAATGAGGCTTTCTGCTCCTGCAATGAGTGAGGGTTGCTATGAGTCGGAATCAACTCGACAGCACTAAACAACAGTGTATATATATGTGAATAAATACATTCAATTTTTTTTTTTTTTAAGTGAATTGACCTTCTTCCTGGGTGGACTTGAGAGCAGTTTCCCTCCCTTTATCAGATAGGTGATAATGTGGTCATGCTTCAACTTTACATTTTAGATTTGAAACCCAGGAGACCCTTGTTTATTCACTGCTCAGGTAGATTCCCACATGTGCAAACATTCTCCATTCATCCTTCTCTCTGAGACCAGTACCCCTCTGTCTGAAGGACACCCTCTAGTGTGGTTCTGCGAGTGGCTAACGGAAACTGTCTTCTGTCTTTCTTTGTGCTGTTCTCCCCAGAGGTAGGATCTGGGCTGGCAGCGATTCTTTTGGCACATGGAAGGGATCTTTTCACTGTTGCTTTGACAGGCTGTCGGCCCATTGTCCCCCTGAAAGTTAATGTCTTTAAAAATCTGGCAGCTTAATCTTTTCAATTTAGTTTTCAACAGTCGCCCTCGATCATGTTAAATGAGGTGGTGGTGGTGGTGGTGTACCATTGGGTCGGTGTCCAAGGCTGTAAATCTTTCAGGGAGTAGAAAGCCTTCTCTTTCTCCCACAGAGCAACTGGTGGATTCAAACTGCTGACCTTTTGATTAGCAGTCCAGTTCATAATCCACTACACTACCAGGGCTCATTCATGTTAGATGTAGGTATGGAAACTTCTCCTTAGTGATGGTCTCTCTTTCTTTCCAGGACTCTGACTAGAGGTGTGCTAGACCTGCTCTCAGAACTCCATGTGAAGGAGTTCCTGGGGGTGGGACAAATTGCAGACCCTGACTTGGGAAGTCTGAGTGAGCTCTGCACACTGTAATTTCTACAGTTGTTGTTATGTGCCGTGGAGTCGGTTCTGACTCATAGAGACCCTGTACAGGGTTTCCAAGGCTGTAAATCCTTATGGGAGCAGAAAGCCTTATTTTTCTCCTGTGGAATAGCTGGTAGTTTCAAACTGCTGACCTTGAAGTTCGCAGCCTGATTCATAACCACAATGCTCACAATGCTGCCAGGTAGACCCTAGAATACACCATGTTGCTAGAGTTGCGCAGTAACAAGGGAACGAAAGAAATAGAAATGGAAAGGAAGAAGATATATCTTTCTTTCCTTTCCTACTGGGAGGCTAATAAAATGCTTTTCCTGGTGGTTATTTTAGTTGGCATCAAGCTGATTCCAACTCATGGTGACCCCGAGTGCTACATAGGAGTTTCTTGGCTGAAATCTTAATGAAAGCAGATCACCAGGCCTTTCTTTCACAGAACTGCTGGATAGGTTTGAACCAACAACCTGAGTCAAGCACAAGCTGTTTGGAAGAGATGAAAGACCTCAGATGGAGATGCTACGAGACCTCGGTGCTGCTTCCTGGGGACCCCACTCTGGGTCACTGGGTAGCTGACCTTGCATCATGTCCTTTCCAGGTTTCATCTCTTGACCATTTTTTCTGATTGATGCTCAGTAGAAGAATCTTTCGTCAGCTGTCCACCATCAGAAAAACTTTGATGGAAGCGTTACTTTCAGTTATTTTCCCTTGTAGAATTTCTGCCGAGTTTTCCTTTGAACTGCTATACCATTTGTTCTTTCAGCCCTGCAGCACCCAGCCTCAGGGCTCACCACCAGAGGGCTCACGTTTAGTTCCTTGCTGACTGTCTTATCTAGTCTTTGTCTTAACTGTCAAATGTCAGCTGCCTGAGGGCACAGAACTTTGGAAGGTCCTGCACCCTAGCCCAGAATGGAACCTACTGCAGCTCGTAGGACCCTGGTCTCCTGCCCTCTACTGCTTGCATGCCTCCCCTGCTCTCCCTCTCTCCTTCCTGCCCCGACCCTACACCATAGGCCTTGCAGGTGCCACTCACGGGAGCGGGTACTTCTTCCACAGCAGCTTGGCTGGCAGGGTCTGGTACACCGTCTTCTGCTTCCCGTCCAAGTTGGGGCTGCTGGGGCTGCTGTGGACCACTTTGGCGCACTCCATTTGCTCGTCCCAGGAGCCAGATAGCACGTAGTGGGCTTTGCCCTGGCTGTCACTCACCACTCCTGTCACCTGTGGACACAGCCGGACCAGCATTGGCACCTGTATTACCCTGGGTGCCCTGGATCTGCGGGGCGGGTCTCTTACCTTCCGGGCTGTCTCTTTGGAGAAGTAGCTGTAGGGCAGGAACTTCATCTGGCACCGGTCCTTGGTCTTATGGTTCACAATCTCAATATCTCCAGTCTGGTGAGAGAAATAGTGGTCAGCGTCTAGCCCACAGGCTAGCCCACAGGCCCCATGCCCTCCTCCCCATGGCCCCATTGACCTGGTCAATCCAGAGCTTGCCCACGATGATGTTATGCACAGTTGAGGTGCTCTTCCTCCACACGTAGTGATTCCCGCTGGCCTGGAATTCCAAGTGGATGGCACCTGGTGGCCGAAATGGTGGGTCAGTGGTCAGGGGCACCAATGTGGGTCTGACCTGCCCACAGCCCAGGGTCCTGGAGTGGCACACTGGAGGTCCAACCCTAGACAGGAGTTGGGGAAAGGGAGGACCTGGAGGTACCAGGAAACCTGTCAAGCGACCCTTAGGAAGACAATGATCTGAGGAGCCCCTGGTTGGCTTCTGGGTTGGTACAGTTTTCCCCCATCAATAGAATGTTGACATCCCAGGTCCCGCTTACCTAATGGCATGATGGAGAGGTACTTCCCACGGAACTTGCTGGAGATGGTGATCTCCTGCCAGAGGCTCCAGCCGTTCTTGGAGGAGACGTAGTGTGCAGCCGAGGGTGGGTGGTGGCTCACCTGGGCCAGACCCACCAATGGCATGAGAGTCTGTGGACCGGTCCTAGAACCCACCCCAGCCAGGGGACAGTACTCAGGCCTGGACTTTTCCCCTGGAGGCAGTGTTCTTGAGGTCACTTAACACCTCCGACGTCCTGGCCCTGCCTGGCGTCTCTGAGTTCCTGGCTTGTGGGCTGCTCAGTGGGTGTCATGGCAGTGCTTGCATCACCAGGACCCACCTGTGACAGACTGTGCTAAGGCTATCAAGTGAAGGGGCTCATTATCGGGACCATTTTCTTGTTCAGTTTTCACTGTTGGGGATGGGACAGGTCTGTCACAGCGTGCTCCATGGAAGGCTCTCCCTCCAGGCCAGCCTGGCTCTGGAGTGGATAAATGGGTACCCAGCCTTGGGCTAGGGGAGGCCTTATCTGGCCAGCCATGGTGGGACCCTCTTGGCAGCCATGGGCACTGCTGACCACTGCCTCACTTTCAGGACACCTATCCATCTGGCCCTCTCGCTTCACAGAGCCCTGTGACACTTGCAAACTTTCTCTCAGTTCTCAGGTCACTGGCCTGGACACACGTCCTCCCTGTCTCTAACGCCAGACGCAACCGCTAAACCAGAGAGACCTCTATCTAACACCCCCCCCCCCCCCCATAGGCAGGGCCAGGTTAGAGGCCACGCCCCAATCACCTCACTCTGACCCCAGTGCCTTCTGGGAGCAGTTTGGCTGGAGTGTAGTGGGCATGGCCCTGAGTTCCTGGAGCTGGTCCTCACCTGCTCGCAGAGGGAGCGCAGACCCATGTCGTCTAGGCGGTCTAGCTCAAAGGTCTCGCCCAGCATGGGGTTGAAGGGCTTCGCGATGCGGTGTACTGTGGTGGAGTAAGAGGACATGGAGAAGGCCGCCACCAGGCACATTTGCTCCACTGAGTTAGTGCAGTTGACCGCTTTGTCCAGTAGGTGGTGGTACTCCAGGTCTTCCGTCAGCCGCTGGAGCATGGACAGCGGCTCGTTAAAGTTCACCTGCAGGGAGGGCAGGCAGTGGTCAGCAGGTGATCAGGTGGGTGCCAGATGGGAGTGCCTGGGTAGCCACCCCAAGCCTAGTCCCATCCATGTGCAGGGATGGGCAGCACCTACTGGCATAGGGATCTTGGAGAGCTCCCGGCCGATGCAGTTCTTCATGATGCTCCAGAGATTAAGGCTGTAGTTGGGCTTGTTGGGGATGCGGGACCTCCTCTTGACTGTGGGTGGAGCCTTGGACCCGAAGGAGGCACTGTCTAACACCTGCCAGAGAAGCAGCTGCGGGTGGTTGTCAGAGGTCTGGAGTTCCTTCTCTTGCTCTCCAGGACTCACTTCTGACTAACCACACAGGGCCTCAGCAGGGGCAGAGCAGGGACCAGAGGCAGGTGAGGTTTTGGGGGGTCCTGCTTTACTTACATTGTCTGTCGTGGTCCATTCGTCCACGGAGACTGCTTCTGTTTCACCCTCAGCCTTTCTGCCAGAGATACAAGGAGACACATTATTTACAAACCCTGAGCCCCATCACACCTTCTCTCCAGACCCACAGTGAGGGGGCCCCACAGCCTTTTGGATCACTCAAGATGGGGGCTGCAGGGCCCAGGGCAGCAGTTGGTAAGGTTCCTACCTACATCCTCCTCTGGGATCTGTGTACATAGGACCCTTGGGGGGAGACTGGCTGACCCCAACCCTAGATGAGCTAGAGGGTGGACCCCTCCTTTGGGAGAGCCTCCCAGAGCCCACGGGACACCTTCTGTCACTAAATGGACCCCACTGTGTCTTCCCTGCCTGTGTGTCTTTCTCCTTATGAGACTGAAATTCTTTAAGGGACAGGGAGTAGGTTTGAAGCTCCCCTCCCTGTGCTGGACCAATACTCATAGACAAAGTGATCAGTCAAGCCAGAAGGGAGTGCCATGTCTGAGGCCTTGCTCCCTGGGAGCATGTGGGAGGCTGAAGTCAGGGCTTCAGGGGATGGACGAATCAGCCAGGTCACTAAGCAGGATGGGTGTGGGACACTTCAGACAGCGACAGTAGGGGCAGAGGCACAGGGCAGGACAGAATAGGCCCCAGAGGCATCTGCCTGCTGCTCAGTGTAGCTGTAGCACAAGGAAGAGATGGAGAGAAGAGGCAGCCGGCAGGCAGATGCCATGTGAACCATGCCAAGTGTCATGAGAGTTGGGGGAGCCAGGGACAAGTGCTGAGGGTCACCTGTGTGCTGGTCAGGTAGGAAGAGGGCCCTGGCCACGCAGCCAGGGGCTGGTTCAGAGCCACTGGAGCCTAGGAGGCGAAGCCCAGGTCTCAGGGGTGCTGGAGAGTCAAGTGGGTGATGATGCTGGATGAGGTAATGGGAGGAGAGCAGCTGGTCGAATGTGCTCACCTTGAGCACAACTTAAAATGTTAGGGGGAAATGGGAAAATGATTCTGAGCTTCAGATACACTGCTGATAGGACCTGGAAACTCCCCGAGGACAGGAGGGATGCGAACCTCTTTTCACGGTAAGAAACTGGAATAGGAAAGGAGTGAAGTGTCTATCTGGAGCAGCTAGGGAGACTTTCCCAGCTTCCTTGAACTTGACTGGGACTTCCTCATTGCATTCTGACCCTTTGAAGAGGCAATGAAGACAGCTGGCTGGGGGATAGGTGGAGGGACAGACATAGGAGTAGACCAAGCTTTGTACCCAAACAGGCTGGGCACCTGCCTGTAGGGAGCTGCATGCAAGTCCTCATCTGTGTGGGCTGAGCGCCCTAAGAAAGGTGGTAATGGTGGTATGCGTGTGAGGGGTGGGAAGCTCTGTGGCTGACAACTTCCATTAGGCTTTGGTCAGTGATGTCACTGTGTCTCCTCAGGACTTAAGAGTAGCAGCTGTCCCCTACCCCACAAGGCCACAGCAGAACCCAGACATGTGCGGAGTTCCTCATCTCCCGTGTTCTCCAACATGGCAACACTCACCAAATTTTCTATTGCTTGGATCTTTAAGAAAGTTGACAGGACAAAAAGATTTCAACAAGGCCTGAACTAAATGAACCTAACTCTTCCGTATCCCCTCTGACCACAGCCATTAGGTACACATTCAGCCAGCCGGACTCCCACTCCATACCCCTGTAGTCCATGACCCCTGATCTGAGTGGGACATATCACTTTCTGTGTGTATTCATAAACCTTAAAGAACACCATCCTTTTATGAAAAAAGTCTTGGAAATAGAGAATAGTAAGTTTCAAAAGTAAAAATCCTGCTGCAGTTTGTCTTGAATGCTGACTGGGTTGTGGGGAGTGGCTGGGTGTGTGAGCAGCTCTGAAGGGAAACTGAGGGAACTTGGACCTTCTGAGCCTACATCCTTGGTCCAGTCCCTCTCCCTGCCCCCAGGCTGGATCCAATTTCAAGCAGCCAATGTCCCGTTCTACTCCTTTTAACCTGAAATCCTGTTACGAGCCTTATTTTGGCCCGAGGAAGAAACAGTACTAACCTAAGTAAAAACACCACCTGGAGTAAGATTTGAAAGAAAGAAAACTCCAAGGGTATAGCTGGTAACAAGACTAGAGGGTGGAGAGGAGAGCCAGGTGGAAGAGGCTGGGCCGGGGGCTTCTGCCAGGCTTGTTGCCTGGCTTAGGGAGACCCACCTGTCCTCATTAGGCTCAGTGATCACGGTGATGAAGGACGTGGAATCTTCCATGGCATCGAAGTACTCGGTATCTTCATCTTCCTCACTGTCCTCTTCTTTGGGAGTCAAGAAGCTTCCTGGAGACACATGGGTCTGACTTAGTTTGCAATTTGTCCCAGATGTGTCTCTCATCTGGCTGAGGAAGCCTGGAGCCCTGCCTATCCTCATAGCACACCCCTGCTCCACACTGCACCCACCCCCACATAATTCCTTTTCTTGCTCCAACCACTGAGTCCTGACTTTCAGCTGCCTTTGATGGAATCTCATAACAATGATTTTTGTAGCTCTGACTCTGAGGCTACCTCCAGGAAGCCTTCCCTGATTTCTCCAGGGTCTGTGTCTAGCTTCCTTTTCTAAAGGGTCCCTGCCCCGCTCACAGCCTTAGGGTGGGATTCCTGGTCTCAGATAGGACTGCTGGGCTCATCTAGCTTTCCTTTTGAGAAGTTGAACTTGATATACAGCGTGGGCCAGACAAGCCTAGTGTGGGCAAACCAAGGGGTACTGAGGCTCAGGCCTCCCTCACCCTCGCTGAAGCTCTTGGTGGGGTTGTTGGACCGGCCAGGAGCACTGCGGAAGGCCCGCTCGAGGCTGTTGTGTTGCTTGGCTAACTGTTCGATTGTCTCCTCCAGGTGGATGCGTCGCTCCCGTTCATACTGCAGTGCACGCTGCCATTTCCGGCTGTGGGACTCTGCTAGCTCCAGGAAGTCTCTGCAAGCCTGGAGGGAGAGGAATGCCTGTGAGTACCACCCCCCTCAGCCCAGCCTGTCAACTGCAGGGACTGTCTTGACTCCCCATCCCTGGCCAGAAGCGCTTTCACTGCCACCATCCACCTCTGTAAGGTCCTGAGAATCTCTCAGAGCCACACCGTCTGAGTTGGCAGCATGCCGTTTGCAGAGCATGAAACTGGGAGCGGTACATACTCCCTCCCAGCAGCAGCCCCAGAGCTGGAGGCTGTGAGGCTGCAAGGTTGCTGCTCATCATGGCTGCACCAAGCTGCCACCTGCTCTCCTCAGTGTGTGCGGGGCCTGTCTCTGTCCCTGTCCTGCCACCAGCAGCCAAGGCCAGTTCTCTGCCTGGCTCAGAGAACTAACCTGTCATGTCTGACAGAAGAACTGGGACTAGAACTCCCCCCCAAGTTACCATATGGTCTCTATCATATTAACTCTGTTTTTAAGGTCTCCACGTCAAGTCTGTGGCCTACTATGACATCCAGATTGTCTTTAGCTTCTCAGGTTCATTTCTCTTAACAAGTGGGGCCATTCTATCTATCTGATTCATGGTTGAGAGGAGTCTTGGTGTGGTGCTGGAGGATACGCACTGGACCGTAAGTTCGGTTTGAACCACAGCATTGGTAGTTTAAACTCACCAGGCACTTTTCTGAAACTCTATACAGGGTTGCGATGAGTGGGAACTGACTCGATGGCACTTAAGAACAACATGGTTGGGAGGAAGGCCCAGGCTTAGCCATTCCTAGCTGACAGAGGGTCCTAGGCAGTGTGCCTTTTCACTCTGTAAGCCAGCAGGAAGGGCCCAGGCCTTCAGCATTGGTCTCTCTGGCTGTTCCTCCCCAGGACTCCCTCCCGACCCTATTGTACCAGCTAACCCTTGCTAGTCTCCATACACATCCAAGGTTTAGATCCTCTTTAGAAGGAGATAAGCACAGGTTGTTGGAGGGACAACGCAGGACCTGTCCTGAAGGGCTGTTGCGGGGAGCAGAGGGCCTGGCAGAGGGCACTCTTACTCTCTGTTTTTGTTGCTGTGTGCCATCGAGTTGGTTCCAACTTACAGCAACCCTGTATAGGGTTTCCAAGGATCGTCTTGTGGTTAGCAGTCCACACGAGGCTCTTACCCTTAATTTTGCATTTTCAACCCCTACAGATAGGCCTGTATCTGCATCTGAACCCCCCTACTTGTACCTTCATCTCCAGTCCCCCTTCCCCTCGCCCAGTGCTGTTTTTGTAACTCTGTGGACTGTTACAAACCAACCCAAATCGCAAAGCCACTGCCACTGAGTCGATTCCAACTCACAGCAATCCTATAGAACAGAGCAGAATGGCTCCATAGGGTGCTGAGGCTGTCAGTCTTTATGGGAGCAGGCAGCTTCATCTTTCTCCTGTGAAGCAGCTGGTAGATTTGAACTGCCGGCCTTGCAGACAGCAGTCTATCATTTAACTCAGTACACCACTCCCATGGAATTCCCAAGTGCAGCAGGACCCACCAAAGGGCTGAGTGAGCAGGGGGCGTGGGTGACCCCTCAGGAGAGCAGCTGGGGGCTGGTCCCCATCCTGCTGCAGGCCTGCGGTCCCTCTAACATGCCCTTTTCCAGTGCCTTCCCTCCATCTCCTCATCTCATGTTCCCAGCAATCCAGGGGGTACGAAGGAAAGGGGTTCCCCAAGCTGAAGACAGAAATGGAGGCCTGGAGATGCAGCAGGTAACTCGATGGAGGGAACAGTGAGCACAGTGGATTCACATTGCCCTGAGTCAGGAGACCAGGGTTCCCGCATAGTCCCTCTACCCTTCACAATGGTTGGGATGGTGATGTCAACATACCCTGGATTCCTGGGCACCTGTCTCAACCACAGGAGAGTGGGCATCCCTGCTGGGCTGAGAAGGACACCAAGGCTCACCTCTCGTGTGGTCACAGACTTGAGCCCCGGGTCCTCCCCTCCTCTGATAGGACTGGTTGTGACCCCCTCTTCTGACAGACCTGCCATGACCCCTTCTCTGATAGACCTGACTCATCTAAGCCACTGGGACCCCATTTCCCAGAACAGGAAGGGGTTTTAATGACAGGTGCTCCAGCACAGGTGGAGAGTGGGACAAGAGCCCTTCATGAGGAAGGTAAGAAATCTTTTGTGCTTAACTGGGTCTTGAAGACAGGAAAGGCTGGGTCTGGTACATCCGCAGAGCTGCGACTAATTTGAGTTTGTAAATTGTGCATTTGTAAGGTTCATTGGAGCCTGGATGGCTTCAAGTGATTTGTGGTCAGTTGCTAACCTAAAAGTTGTGGTTCAAACCCATTCAATGGCTCTGTAGGCCTAGCAAACTGACTCCATAAAGATTATAGCCAAGAATAACCAATGGAGCAGTTCTAAGCTGTAACATAAGGGGTTCACCATGAGTTGGGATTAAGCTGGGTTTGGTTTTTGCAAGGTTTACCCACAGGTATAGAGCTATGGTTATTGGCTATGACTCATTGGGGTGACCCCCATGGTGGGCCTGTGAGACCCAGGCTCCTTGGCCTGTGACCAGAGCTAAGCCCTTCACCCCTTGGCCCTACAGTGGGCTCCTTGTGTCACCCGCAGCCCAGTCCCCCTACCCTTGGGGAGGCACAGGTTAAATGGCACCTCCTTGCTTCTTTTTCTGTACCACCTGGGGACACAGTGCCCTACTGGACATCTCAGGAACTTTCCAGGCCTTTCCAGGAGCCCCGAGAGATGAGAGGATAGAGAGCCCCATGCTACTGCACAGACAGGGAAACTGTCAGAGAGCAACAACACAGCCAGGTCTTAGCCTGGAGCCTCGTCCGGCTCCAGACCAGCTCCCAGCTGCTGCTCTGCAAGACCCACTTCCCCACAAAGCATTCCCACAGCCCTGAGTTTGGCCCAGCCTGCTCAATCTCGGTTCCAGTCATCTCTTTGCCAGCCAAGAATGGCATTGCTCTGCTGCTGCCAGAGGATGGCCAGCCCCACTGCTGGCCCAGGCAGTGCCCTATGTCCAACCAGGCCAGTCTCATGCAGCAGTAAGACCACAGTATCAAATGGTAGCCAAAAATCATGGTAGTTGTTGTTAAGTGCTGCTTATAAGTCAGATCCTACTTACAGCAACCCTGTATAGGGTTTCCGAGGCTGGAAATCTTTGCTGGAGCAGAAAGAAAGCTTCAGCTTTCTCCTGCAGATCAGCGGTGGGCTCAAACTGCCGACCTTGTGGTTCACACTTCAGTGCTTCTTCTACAGAGCCACCAAAAACTCACATCAGTTGAGCCAACTTTTCACAGTGATGAGGGGTCCCTATCCTCTTTGCATTAATGCAGGTGGGTGCTTCACTATCCTGTTTCATGTCATTTGAAACAGGATTTATAAAAGAACCACATGACAACAGTATAAAGTAACAGTCAAAGGTCATCATACTAATTCCAAAAACTCACACCTGGGGCTTCCAACCACAAAGACCAAAAAAATTATAGTCGATAGCTTTTGGATTCTAACTCATAGTGGCCCTGTAAGCTAGAGTAGAACTGTCCTTTAAGGTTTCTGAGGCTGCAAATCTTTACAGAACCCGACTGCCTCATCTTTCTCCCATAGCTGCTGGTAGGTTCGAATTGCCAACCTTTCAGTGTAGCTAAGTGTTTAGCCACCGAGCCACCAGGGATCATTCAAAGCAAACAGGGAAAGACCACCATGGTGTGAAGATGAAGTGGGTCCCCTCCTACCAACCAGTTATGGTCACGGGTGCTAGGTACAGCAGTGTGACCATTTTCTCTCTGTGAGAAACAGACCTGACCCCAGATCCTCTCCAGCTGCACCTCCAGGGACCCCATCCCTCTCATAGCCCCTCCCATCCCACTAGAAATTGTCTTACTGCTCTCCCCTCAGGAGGAAGATGGGGTGTATAGGCTTGGAAACCAAATATAGGGCCCCCATAAGTCAAAATCAACTGGGAGGTCGTGTGCTTGTGTTTTTGTTTTGGGGTTTTGATTTCAAGGGCAGGGGTGCTCAGGGACCCAGATTCTCATGGTGTGGGCCTGGACTCCTGGTGGACTCACTGGCATGGGGCAGCTCAAGCAGCAGGACCCAGCTGTCCAGAGTCTTTGATCCACTGGTGATCTTGTCCATACTGCAGGAAGGGCTGGTGTGGAGCATAGGAGACAGACCCCTGAGAACAGTGGGTCTCAATCGGGTCACATTGTGGTCAGAGTGTCCCCTGAAGAGGTGAAGGAGGCTGCACCCTAAACCGAGGGGGTCACATGACCAGACCACGGTGTGGGGGGATTACCTGCAGCAGAGGAGCTGTCCTGTCACTGAGGAGAGGTGGGATGGGGACTACTGACTGCCTGTCCATCCTCATGCATCTACCTGCTGTCCACCTCCACCTCAAGGGGTCTCATCTGCCATCACTGGCCTTTCCCAGGCCCCATCCTGGTCACCCTGAAGAGAGGGGTGGGGACTGGCCTGGCCCTGCTGCCCTTGGATGTTGAGCTGGCTGTGTAACCCCGAAACTGGGGCTCCCAGAGGTCTGGCTGAGCTGAGGTCTGAGCACACCACACCTCCCTGTGGGCCAGAGAGATGGGGACCAGAGTCCTCTTACCCACACAGGCAGAGGGAGGAGCCCAGTTGCAGGCCCACCCTGGGTATCCTCGTGGGGGGAATGAAAGCCGTAGTCATGGAACTCCACAGAGTGCCTGATTACGAGCTGTCTGCAGATCATCCTCAGGATGGGGACAGAGTGCCAGTCTCCTGCCTCCAAATCTGCCAAGAGGGTGGCCATTGAGGAGGTGGGGGCCCTGAGAGAAAGGCCAGGATGGAAAAGGTAGGGTTACCGCCTCAAAGCTGCCCTGCTCACTGATGAGGGGACTTGGCAGGCCCTGCTAAGAAGGAGCCTGGGAGGGCAGCCCACTCAAGAGAAACTGTCCACAGTAGGGGAAACTGCTCCCTGGTGATGGCCCTCAACAGGCATCTCACAGGAAGAGGGGCATGGGGGGTCTCTGCCCAGCAG